GGTATTTTACTACTAATCTAAGTAAACTACTCTGGAATCTTTTTAGTTAAAGGTCAAAGTAAAATATCCAAATACCTACCCATTAACAAATCTGATTTTCATTTTCTAAGGAAGCTAAAAAATATAAATAATCCTTTTGGAGGTAAAAAAAGTTATACGGAAGACTAATTGTAGCTTCAGGAATTTGTCCTATTCAATTTTTGCTAGATCGTAGTTTCATTTATATGTCAGTGCTCTGAATTGGGCTATAAAACACAATTTGAAAGTGCTGGCATGGGGAGAGACAAAAAATAAATTAAATGCATCTTCCAGTGAAGCAAGTACTATGAAGAATTAAATAGGACAAATTCTTACTCTGTGTGGTTCATTGACAGTATAAACAATGCAAACAATAGTAATAATTAAAACATAGTTTCATGCTGAGATGAAAATTTCTAGAGCCTCAGTTGTGGGAAGTTTATGATTTTTCCATTTTTGTATTTGTGATCATAATTATGTCCCTGAGGCAGCAAGAGCTGGGACTTGTCATTTCCCATTTCCCTTCCCAAAACAAGATTAATTATTTTATATAGAAATCCAAAAGTTGATGCCAGAACTATAATAACTGTAAACAAAATATTTTATTATTATCTTTAAAATCAAGAATATATAATTTAGTGGCATCGTTGAATAAATAATGAAAAAAAATCATATACTCTAGACAATTCAGGATAAAGCTAAAAGGCAATGTTTAATGAAATATTGACTCATATTGTCAACAAAATGATAGTAGACAACTGTATGGATGATAGCATTTAGTAAAATGCTATAAAATCAATAGGGTGAAAGCAAGGGATGGGGAGAAATAGACTCAATGGCCCCGTCTTCAAATAATGGAATATGAAGCTATTTGTCCTTATTCCCCACATGAGAAAAGTTTAAGTGACAGTGCACAACTTTCTTATGGCTAACTTTATTTTTAGAGGACTCCCCAGTGAGGAGATGCTTACTTAACATTATTATATACTACTTCAAATTATTCATAGTCATTCAATATTTATTAAACAAATTTATATGGCCATGAAACTCATACAGCAACTCTGGGCATCTTACATTGTCACTGTATATTTTCATTGAATCAAGTTAAGAGAATATGGATAGAAAAGCAGAGACATAGGTTCATAAGTTGTTTCTCAATGTACAAAGCTCTGTGGCATGTATACCCTTTGGTTGGTTACTGACTGATTGGTTTTTTGGGTTTTGGTTTCCAATTAGATTTTAAAATCTTGATATATTCATCTATATAATTTGCTGAGCATAGTTGTGAAGTCTGAGAGCTTCGAAATTTAAATAATGAATGACCTTTAAAATAAGGACTATACCAACCATTATAATCGGTCCTCCCATGAAGCAGAGCAAGGCATCAGAGGTATTCTGAAAAAAGTACATCTGTTTATATTTATTTATTGTATTTTCTGTTTTCCCAGCTGAAAACGGAAAATAGGCTTGAAGAATGTTTAGGACAGCTCTGAATGCAAGGCAGATTGTTGTGTTTGGGATAACAATGTCTCCAAGGGCAAAGGTTTTTAAATATTTATATGCATGACAAGAAATAAAAGGGGTACTTGGGGACACAATCTCAAAGGATGTGAAAATCTGCTCACTGTCCCTGAAGACTATAGCCATGGAGACTTAAGCTGGTGTTTGTTTGCATGGTAATAGAAAATGGACTTAGCTTTACTACTGCTGTGACTGCTACTACCATTGCTGCTACTACAGCAGCTGCTGGAATCTCTGCAGACAACTGCCTGTATCAAAAGCTTTTCTGTTACTACACAAGTAATGCATTTCACAATTGCTCCTATAAAGAGTCCTCAATTTGAGCCTGCCAAGTTTTCATTTATTTACTGGACTTAAATATCAATGCACAGTAAATAAAACTAGTTTATTCTCTTGATGTTTAATCATATTTTTCACCAACTAGACACACCTTACAAAACACTTTCTTTTGTGAAGTTGGGCCAAGAGCTTGAAATGGGCACACTTATCTATCTAAATGTCCCCTTGAACTTGGGTACGACACCCTCACTGTTACACCACCCTGTCAGACTAGGTCAAGCCCAACCTCTGCTGACTTCAGGATGAACACCTAATTTTCTTGGCAACAAACAAGTATTGCTGCTATTGCCTGCTTCTTAGGGCTGAAAGTGTCTAGCCCAAGATCACACAGCTAGCTTGAAGCCTAAGCCATTAATTTGAACACAAGCGTCTGCTGGTTTCTAGTCAGGTGCCTTACCCACTACACCAAACTGGCTCTCATGACTCTCAAGTCATAACTCAGCCCAACACCCTACTTTTCCAGAACCAGATACATGTAGTCCTCGAGTTACGACCACAACTGAGCCCAACATTTATGTTGCTAAGTGAAACATTGAGTTTTGCCCCATGTTACACCTTTTCTTGCCACATTTGTTAAATGAATCATTGCATTTGATAAATTAGTAATGTGGTTACGTGAATCTGGATCCCCCATTGTCTTTGCTTGTCAGTCTCAGAAGGCGATCACATGACCCCAGGACACTGTAACCATCATAAATGTGAGTCAGTCTGAATTTTGATCATGTGCACCATGTGGATGGTGCAATGATGCCAAGTGGGGGGGGGGGGAAACGGTTATGTCACTTTTTTAGTGTTGTTGTAACTTTGAACGGTCACTAAACGTTGGAAGTCGAGGGCTACTTGTACTTCCCTGACAGTCGACTGTTGTACAGGTGGATCAAATAAGACACTGAGCTTCTTGATCAGAAAGATCGGTGGTTCGAATCCCTAGTACAGGTCTCCTGCATGAGCAGGGGGTTGGACTAGATAACCTCCAAGGTCCCTTCCAGCTCTGTTACTGTTACTGATCTACGGGACGGACAACAGGTAACCGCGGAAAATGGTCTCAGCAGCCGGGGCAACCGCTGAGAAGGAGTCGCGGGAGAGCGGCTTCCCCAGTCAGCACCGCTGCCTAGAGCAGACTTTGCCTCTCGCGGGCAGCCAAGAGAGGCGGGCCGTTTCCGCCTAACGGGGGAGGCGTCTCTCCGCCACCGAAGAGCAGCGGAGGCGGCACTTGATATACTTGACTCAGAAGGTACCGAAGCAGTAACCGCTACGGTTGGGAGCGTGGCGGCTGCGGGGGACGGGAAGGGACGGAAAATGAACCTTTCTCGCTTTAGCCTGACAGACTCGCGAACGCGCGCGCACGCGCGGCGCCTGACAAGCCCGAAAGGACCACCATCATAATCATAGCTCGAGGAAGAGAGGGGGTGGGCCATTCCCTTGGTCAAACTTCGTACTTCCTGTCTGATTGGTAGGAGAAGAAGCTCTTAGGTCGTTATTGGTTAGAACTTGCTGCCCATCTAAACAGGGTCTCGGCTCATACGTTTTCTTCGGCGTGGGGTGTTGTCTAGAAAGCGATAGAGCCGCCATATTGATTTCGGGCAATATCACTTGGGCAATGGGGTGGAAAGAGGAAGAACGGGCAAGGGAGGGTGTAAACTCTCCTCCACTGATTTAAATCTTTGCAACCCATCGTTCAGCTTTATGTCTCTCACAAAGGGAAAAGAAATACACTTTTTTCCCCAAGTGGGCCTTGCGGCGGGGAGGAGGCAAGTTCTGTCCTTCTGCCATCCCTCTGATTTTTAGGACGTTATTTTTCTTGCCAATCTCGCTTAGTTGGAAGGGATCGCATTCCTAAAGTCAGATTGCTTGGGGAAATTTTGCTTTGTTCGTCCGCAGTTTTTAGAAATCGGTAGCCAGGCATGTTAGTTCCAACTTTGCATCCGCTGATGGAGTGGGAAAGTAATCCTGATTATATCTAGTGGCCAAAGTAGATAGCGCTACATGGTAAGAAGTTCCTGAAATTGGGAAAATACAACTCGGGAGTTTTTCAAACTTGGGCAATTTTAAGTTGTGTGGACTTCCAACTTCCAGAATTCCCCAACCAGCAGCTTGCTTACCAGGAAATTCGGGGAGTTAAAGTCCACAGATCTTAAAGATGCCAAATTTGAAAAATAGCGATATAATTCATGAGATGCTATTTACCCATTTACTTCCTGCTTTCAGCCTGATTTGAGAAAGGCTGGCAAAAGCTTCCCACCTTGGATACTCCAAATGTGCAAACATTTCTCTTGAATACATTGGATAGGAATCACAGAAGGTATAGTTCCCAAAACATCTGGAAACCAAAATTAGGCTATAGATAGGAATTATCCAATTGACTTGTCCCCCTCCCCCCCTTAACAGCTCTAAAGTTTGTTCCACATCTATCCTCTTAAACTTGAGTTTGATAGCAGGAACAGGTGAATTTCTTTTTGTGTTGATGACCTTGGGTTTATAACTAGGAGTAAATAAAATATTATTGGTGTCCATGTAAATATGAATGCTTTTGGCCAGGATATGAGTTTGTGAGACTATTTCCCTTGTTTTCAGTCACAGAGATAATGGCTCAAACAGTGAAGATCATATATGTTAAAATGTTTTCTCATTACCTCCCTTTCCCATCAAATTGCACACTTTGTTATTTGGTACTATATAAATCCACTGGGACTGATGCGGGACATGGGTCTCCCAGCTTGCTTGTTTCACTGATGTTTCACTGATGTTACCCAAACTAGGTAACATTATCAGTGCTAGAGTATGTTTGCGGTGTTCTAGAATGGTAACATTAAATTTAATTGGACCCTTGAAAGTATAGGTCCAAGATATTTTGCTGTCTATGCCAGCAACAGATAATCTTGTAAATCATTAGTCAGGCTTTGACCCCAAAGTAGATGGGATGTCACATTTTTATTTGTGAGCCATGATATCCTGACAAATCAGAGGTATAAGGGATTATACATCATCCTAAATTATTAACCTCAATAGTTGGAGTTCTACAGGGTGTTAAATCAAGAATGAAGAACAAATGAATTTCTATATAGCTTTATTTGTTGTATGAATATAGCTCTTTTTCTGTCTATTGCTTATGCAGTCACCTGTCAGGAGGAAAAAAAATCACTTTTTAAAGAGCACTTGGAACCAGACCAAGGGTCATGTGAAATTAGTCTAAGAGCTGTATATTATCTCCTGTTCTAGATCATCTTCCTGAAGATACTTTTCAGTGGTGCTCTTGCAGCTCCAGTAAGTATTTTCCTTAAAATATTCTATATTCTTATGGATTTTGGGTGATCCATCAAGGGGTTTTTGTTTTTTTGTTTTGGCAGTGGGGGTATTGTGCTAGGAAATTTTGGGGCTGAGGAACGACCAAGTTCACATTTTAACCTTTATACTATATCTTGCAATATATTCACGAGTATGAGAAGTAGTGTCACTAAACTCCCTTTCATACTAAGAAAATTGTGCCTATAAATAGCTGATATACTACCGAATCCAAGCTTGTGTTGGCAACTGTTCTGCTATCTAAATGTATGCAAGCATATAAAAAGTCATCCTGGTGGCAAATTGTAGAGGGAACTGCTGTTGCTCGGTGCAATCTGGGAACACTGGAAGCCAATGAGAAATAAAATTTTAAAATCAAAGTAGAAGAAGGAGGCTCAATATTGTTACTCTGTATTTATATATGCCAAGCTAAAAGGATCATATTGTGATATGAGACCCTAAACAGGAAAATAATGAATTTAAACATGAGCAGTGCCTTAGGGGTGCAGAGCTAATGGAATTTGGGCTTTTAAAATAGAACAAGACCTCTAAGCATGTGTTTATTCAATACAAATATTCAACTGCCCAAGCAAGTTTTGTCTGTACTTTTTAGAAACATAGGTCAGGGGTTTCAAAATTCATGAGTTCACACTAGAGACCGGGATAGAATGAAGGAATTTCCAAACCCAGCTGCTGATTTAAACCTGTAACTATTCTTTTTCAAAACTTGGGCATGTAAATGCCACATGCACGTATCATATTTGTTTGCTTTTACCAATATCTCATACTTTATCTGTCTGACATATGCTTATATAACACACTTGGCAGATATTATTGTTGGCTGAGCTTCTTTGGTTAGGTTTGTTTCTTTGTTCCTGTCTATTTAGAATACTTCTGTACTTTAGTGGAACTTCGAGAAAAGCAGAAGACCTGGGCCAGTACTTTCACACATGAAAAATTAAAAATAAAGAGCATGGCAAACTTGGAATGAAAACGTATAGAGGAATTAATATTTCTTATGCTAAGTGTCCATTGAACTTTTTAATTTTAAATGTATTAATGAGTTTTTGTTAAGATTACTTGGAGTTAATATTTATTGAGGAAAAATTGTCCTAAATCCACAAATTCAGTTAGATACAAAAATCTTTAAGAATGTACATTGTGAAAATTTCCCAATACTTGTTTTTTTAAAAACAAAATATTCCGTTTTTTATTTTATTACTCCATTTAGTAAAAAATGAAAGAAAGAACAATGAAAATACACTAAGAAGAATATACTATGTATAAAATTAATGAAAATGAACTAAAAAGAGAAAAAAAGTATATTATAGTATAATATAATAGTATAAATATAATATACTAAAGTATATTTAGTATATTATAAATGCTGTATTATTGCTTATTCTTTTCTGTTTGTAATAAGAATGCCTCAAGAGTCTAATAACAGGTTCAGTTTACAAATATTTCATGCTGTCTTTGGCTGGGTCTTGTTTCTTTTTCCAGCGCAGATGATCTTGGCAAACTGTAAATTGAAGCCAGAGCTGCAACAATTTTTCAACACATTAGCAGCAAATTTAGTGCTTATGACGAAGAGATAGCAATCACATTAGGTTCAACAGCGGTGAGAGAGATGGCGTGAACTGTAGAAGTTCTGCAGAAATCTTTATCAGCTTGTTTCAACTCCATGTGGTACCATTTGCCATTTCACTTCTCAAGCAAAACATGCCAGCTTGTACGTTAGCTTTGTGACATACACTAAGAAAAATCAATCATTAACTTTTACGGTTCTAGCTTCAGCAGGTTATGAATATTGAACTGTGTATAGTCTGTAGTTTATTGTGACTTTCTTGTCCTGAGACCTAAGGCTAGGATTCTTGGGGGTTTTTTCAGGATGAAGTTTGCCTTTAGTCTTGGAATGCCTGCACTTCCAAAAATAGGAAAAAGGAAACTAGGTTTGATTTTGTGCCGTTTGATTAAAATTAAATGTAGAAACTACTTTTCTTCAGGCATTTCTTTCATAATTTACTGCTTCAGTTTATATGGTAGCTTTTGGAAGTCTCAGTGGGCTGTATCCAAGGCTTTTAAAAGGGCTGAATGCAACCTTGGAGACTTGGATCGTGCATCATTGCATGTTTTGAGTGCTTTAATTCTGTCTTTTTTTATAAAATACATGAATGACCTGGTCCTATTTATTGGATCATCTATGCTTTAAAATACTGAAAGTGAGCTGTTTCCCATGTAAACAGGTCCAGAAGTGAAAATGTATGTTGCTGTCTAAACAGGCTAGATATTTACATTTTAGAATTAGCAGGCAGCTTAAGCAATATTGCCAGTTACTATTTGAAAGGCCAGAGCTATATGTGGTCCCAAAGCAGACATAGAATTAGTGCACTGAAGCCTAATGTACTTGATGGTTAGACGTAGCCATCATCAATATCAAATGGACTTTTCTGGTACCTTGTTCAATAAATAATAGATAAGACAAAATAAAATTAGACATCACATTACCAAAGTGGGAGTTATATATTACATATGGAAATAAATGAGCTGTAGTCCACTTTGGTTCAGTGAGGCTACCCAGGAGCTAGAAAATAATGTCTACAGAAAAATTTCAATCTTAACAAGAATCTTAATCTTGCAGTATTATGTAGTGATTTGATGTAGATAACATTTAATCTACTTATTTGCTTAATGGAACACTTCCCCCTTTCAGCCTGGTTAATAACTTTCTCAGTAGTACTGATAAAAATCACCTCTCCCTTCAGGTTAGGACTTTGATTGTGGATTTTTGCTGTTACAGATATTTCAGCCTCATATTGAATGTCAGAAAAGATCCACTGCACTGTAGAAAAAGGATGACAATTTTGGCCCAGGTGGCTATGGGTTTTAGGATCTTTCTCCACAATTACAGACTATCCACTCAAACCTGAATCTGCAAAACCTAATGTTGTTAGGTTGAATTTTTCTGTTCCTATCACTAGGGTCTCTCCTCTCTGTTTGGTTCATCTGACCCCCCCCTCCCCAAATGTATGGGGTAAAACAAAACTAACCTATTTTACATGCATTGAAGTTACCTGTCAGGAGTCCAAGTAACACCCATAATGAAAGAAGACTCCGAGACTTGAGTTTCCTCAAAGTTCCATTTTATTAGAGATGTCATATTGGCACATGTGGGAAAACCTGAATCTGAAAATTTCCACCCAAATGAAAGTTCAAGTCCCTGCCCAGCACCACATGACCCAATCAGGCACCGTCCCAACTAGAGATGCCTCCCAGTCATACCACTCCAGGTGCAGGGCAAGACGTCTTTGATGCTCTCAGAAAGGAATGTTATTTTGACTATATCTATCACATTCCATATAATTCCCCCTCCCAATTTCCCACAGCATTAAATGTGGCAGGTCTGATGGCCCAATGCAAAACATGACTTCAAGGCCTGACATTACCATTGGACCATGTTAGAATAAGAGGAAAAGTAGCATTATTGGAACATTAGAACAGCTAAGGATGGCTTATGTCACTTTCTAAGGGTCTAGGGACAAATGTGGGAAACATAATGGAGATCAGGTAGGAAAAGAGGAGGTTGCTAGTGCATGTTTGTGTCTTGGTGAGAGCATGCCCATGCATGGAAAATTGTTTGATAGACTTCTAAGGAAGCCCAAATTTCCTTTGAAAATTGCTAGCTATGCTGCATCCATTCTTAAAGCTAAACTACGGCATTCAGAATTTTGATCTTTCTGGACTTCAGATTCATGCTTCCCAGTGGTGTGATTCAATTTTTTTTACTACCCATTCTGTGGGTGTGGCTTGGTGGGCATGGCAGGAGAAGGTTACTGTAATATCTCCATTCCCACCCCACTCCAGGGGAAGGTTACTGCAAAATCCCCATTTCCTCCTTATCAGCTGGGACTCTGGAGGCAGAGAATAGATGGGGGCTTGCCCAGTCAGAGGTGGTATTTACTCGTTCTCCGAACTATTCAAAATTTCCACTACCAGTTCTCCTGCTGAATACCACCTCTGATGCTTCCCCATTTCTTTTTTCGTTGGTTGCCCAAAGTCTGAATGTTAAAGTTCAGTTCACATTTTATGCAATAGTATATATTAGTACTTTTACAATATTCTTGCAACATAGAAATTGCTATTTTCCTTTCTAAATACTCTCCTCCCCGCTTCCTATGGAACTTTCATGTCTGTTTCAACACCAAGGAATAAGCGTAATCTGCTCTTTGTTTCCTATCTCATTTTTACTTTGCAAAAGGGGCTTTTCTGTTGCCATGAAACATGTATTCTATGGGCTTGCAGGCAATATATTGTTTGACTTTCATATTTAAGAGCTTTGTTGCTGTTTATCAGTCTGCTTTGTATATTGCCAGGTTTGGCAGATCACAGTTTTAGCAATAAGGCTGTGGTGCCTAGAGTAAAGGGCAATTGTTGTTTTCCGTAGTATTGTGATGTTTTGGAATAAGAGATAATCCTCTAAAATAAAGCACATCTGGCAACCCAGTCTGTTGTCTGCAATGAATCCATCAGCTCTGAGTTGGACAGTTGCCATTGAACAGTTGTGAACTGAAAAACTGTTCTGTGAACTGACATATGGCCACACCTGAGCTTTACTGCACATACTGTATATACAGCCTTCACATCAGAATGAATTCTCCCAAACGATGCACAGTCTTCCATAGTATGGCATGTGCTCTTCCTCCCTTGCTTAAGCTTTTTGAACTGTAGAAAGCTCAACAAAAGGAAACGCATTTTCTCTTTCTACATAAATAAAATAAATTCTGCTTCAATTCAAGCACAGCTCATGTAGAGTTTTTTTGGGCAACAAAAAATGTTTTGCTATTGCTCTTCATGGATTTTTTAACAAAAGCTTCTGAATCTAGCTTATCATACCAGAGCATCCCTTCTGAGTATGGAGTAGATCAGATCCTTCTTAATTTCTGAATCCAGATAAGATCACATAGCAAAAGAAATTAAATTATTAAATGAAATAATTATCTTTGAATTCCAAGCACTCTTTTGGACTGGAGCATATTCTCCTTCCTGAATTTTGGTTGAAGTAACGCTCTCTCAGGTTCTGCTAAGATCCAATGGAAGGGCAGAAAAACCTGTCTCCCTTCTCAGGACAATCACTGAATATATCACTGAAGAAATATAAGCCTGCTTAGAATAGATAAAAGATTGAGAACTCAAGGATCATCATTTTTTTTAAATGTTCTGAATAATTATAACATGTTCTTATAAATCCTTACAAAATGTTCATGCCATAATCCATATCTAAATTTGGCCATTTTGGAGGCCGATATAGAATGCAGCTTTTTAAAAGCCAGTCATGTCCTTTTAGGTAGAATTGTATTTGTTGGTCAAATAATGTTTACTTTCCTCTCTATCCTGTTGGGTTGCTCTTATTCTGCTTTGGAAGAGAAGACTTGAAGAAAATAAGTGGGATGGAAGAAGGAAGAGAGTGAAGCGAAGATATGTACAAAGAGTCAGATTGCATAATTTTAAATGTAGTAACATTATTGTAACAACTCTGCCTTAGAAAATTGAATGATCTTTGGATCCAGGTGGTCTTTGATATTCTTTATCACGAGGGTAGAAGAATTCCAATTACCTCTGGAAGCTCTTACTTTTGTATATAGAGAATGCCACATTTCCTAACAGTGACAGGTGTCTTAGCTTTGCCATTTTAGCTTTTAATAATAACTCCACATGTTATTTTCTTTATTTGTGTTCAGGCTGCTTACATAATATGATCACCGTACTGGATCTGTTGTCACCGACTTGACATCCAAGTAGAGAACAGAACATGCTAGACTCGTGATGGCATGTGGAGCCATTTCTGAGGGCGCACGAGGCGTTGCCCTGTCAGCTCCAGCATGCATCTGGTTTGTGCGTTGGGCTGTTTTTCACTCTCCGGAGGCTTCAGTCTGTTCCCAAACTTCCCTAGAAAGCCTGGGGAGGGCGAAAAACAGACCCACTGGATCCACCGGAGGTCGGAAAACGGGCCATTTCCGCCTTCCGGAAGGC